CAAAATGCACAGAGATTTGATTTTTCTGTTGTATCTCCTGGGCAAAAAGCACCACCCTTAAATGAGAGGCCTGAACCAATTTCTTCTGAATCAGATATTTCCCCCCCAGACCTTCCTGCACTGTTCTGAGTTTAAGATATTTTACTTCTTTAATTCCCTGCTCTGTGAAGAACAAAACAACTCTCTCCACGTTGCCTCAGTGAAGGTTCAATTTGTCCTTTCTGCTCCATTTCTTTGAGAGAGTTTTGCAGAAGAGCACTCGGGTTTAGAACCTTCCAAAATGAAATCCTGCTGGGGTAGGTAAAGTTTTCCTTTGGAAAACAAGAAAATCAGCACAACATATTGTGCTCCCAAGGCTTGGCATCGAGTGTGTTTTGGGGGAAATGTGAGAATTCTCACCACCTCTTCCAGCAGAACTGCAGGAGCTCCAAGCTGGAAGCTGTGAAGGGTGAGAGGCCCCCCAAATTTTGGAATGTGGGAGTGTGGTCTGTCAGGAACAGCACAGGGGAGGTTTGGAGGTTGGTGCTCCACAGCTCTTTTCTCTGCTTGCCAGAGGTTTGCTGGAACAATCCCTTCTGTTCCAAGGAAATGCAGTTCACTGGGATGGTGGGGAAAGATTTGTCTTGAAGTAGACAAATTAGAAACAATGAAGTAGAAGTAGAATTAGATTCTACTTCTAATTCTTGAAGTAGAATTAGAAACAACTCAGGGCTTTTGGGTCAGAAACTGGCTTTTGGGTCAGAAACTGGCTTTTGGGTCAGAAACTGGCTTTTGGGTCAGAAACTGGCTTTTGGGTTAGAAACTGGCTTTTGGGATAGAAACTGGCTTTTGGGGTAGAAACTGGCTTTTGGGGTAGAAACTGGCTTTTGGGGTAGAAACTGGCTTTTGGGGTAGAAACTGGCTTTTGGGGTAGAAATTCTGGATTATTACATGGACAGGTCATAATTCCTGTATTCCACGTGTCCCACCCTTCCCAGCTTTGGAGCCCTGTGGTGCCCGAGCTCAGGATTCTTGTGCCAGGAGTGTGTTCGGGGGCAGCACGAGATAAAACACCTGCAGCAAATACTTGTGTGCATTTATTTGCACAACACACATCACTTGGAGCATCTTGCTGGCTCCCAGCACTCGGAGTGCTCTCCTGAAGGAAGGGGGGTGTTATTTTGAGGAGTCGATGCCATCTGCTGAGCCCTGGGTTTGTTTTAAATAAGCTGGGCTGGTGTTGGCCAAAATCCAGGGACGAGGTTTGCAGCTCCTGGGAGCCACATATTGTTTTGGAGTGGTTACAGAGCAGGGATTGCTCAGTGCTGGCTTGAAAATACCAAGTGGTGATGGACCTTTCCAAGGCACCGGGAAAAAAACATCATGGACCTGGTGTGGCTGTTCCATCGCTTCCCTCTGGATGTGATTCAACATCCAGCAGTGCCTGGAAGAATTTCCTGGTCTGTACTAGACAGAAACACAGCTTTGTGCTTCTGCTCTCTGAGTTTGGGGGTGATAGTTGTGACTTCTCATCACTGCACCCCTGGAAACCTGTAGTAGCTCTTGGGCAGAGTCTATCAGGTGTTAAGGGTTGAGTGTCCCGGGAATTCCAACACTGGGGAGTGGAAGCAAAGAATATAATGTTTTCCACCTTGAAAATTTGATTTTTAGCTTCCCTGAAACTGCAGTAACCACCTACTTTAGTACTTTGTGTCCCAAAATACCAAATTACTGGCAGACTGGGTTTAGGACTTTGTGTAAACCTACACATGCAAAGATTTTCTCCTTTGCAGGAGTCAGGACATGTGTTATTCTGTTGCTCATGAAGTTTTTCCTGTTGGCTTTAGTTTGTAACATCTGGGTCTAAAGGAAGGAACCTCTGAAGGGGGAGAAAAGAAAAAAAAAAAAAGGCCAAATGGCTTTTGGAGCAGAAGCTTCTGCTCTGGGAGTTCAGAGCAGCTCTCAGGAGTCGTTGGTACCACACTGGTGAACCCCAAGGGTGTTTCTTGCTCTTCCTTTGTGCAGATATCATCATTCCTGAGAACGGGGAGCCCGTCAGCTCCAAGGACATCAAGTGTTGCATTAAACAGATCCAGGAACTGATTATTTCTCGGTTAAACCAAGCAGTGGCCAACAAGTTAATCAGCTCAGTGGACTATCTGAGGGAGAGCTTCGTGGGGACTCTGGAGAGGTGCCTCAAGAGCCTGGAGGAGTCCTGGGAGGTGTCAGTACATCCTGCCAGGAGCTTGGAGAAGCCCAAGGATGGTTCTGTGCACATCACGAGCAATTATCTCAAACAGGTACGAGGGGCTGGAGTGGCCCTTTGGAGTGGCTTGTTGGCTTTCTCCTGACCCAGAGAGGGTGGTGGGAGATGGGGATGCCCAGGGAAATCAGAGCTCTGGAATATGTGGGGTTTGGGGTCATTAAGGGAGGTGCTAAAACTGGGAACAGTCACTTGAGGGCCTAACACTTGATTTTCCTAAATCTGTATATAATGACGAGGTTACAGCCTAGAAACACCTCTGAGCTCAGTGCAGTAAATGAATTAACCAAGTGATTCGTGGGTTATACCACAGAGCACCATTCTTTTTCCATTTTCAGAGGGTCCAGCAAAGTTTATGGCTTGCAGAGTTTCCCAGATTTACATCTTTTCCTGCTTTCCAGATCCTAAATGCAGCTTATCACGTCGAAGTCACTTTTCACTCTGGCTCAACAGTGACCAGGATGCTGTGGGAACAGATCAAACAGGTATGGGCACCTTCAGCAGTTATTCCTGAGGATTTCCATCCCTGGAAGTGTCCAAGGCCAGATTGGAGAGGGCTTGGAGCAACCTGGGCTAGTGGAAGGTGTCCCTGGGGGTGGTACAAGATGGGCTCAAAGGTCCCTTCTGACCCAAACCATTCTGAGATTGCATGATTTTAACATTTAATGTCAAGCAAAGACCTCCTGAGTGTTTTCTTGAGCAAAGGAATGAAGGGCCCTTTGAAACTCGTGACTGTTTGGAGTAATGTTTATTTGGGTTTGTGGGTTTCCTGCCGGTTTTTGTTTGCTTGTTTTGCAGTGTATTTTGATTTAGGTCAATTCACTCTTCTCCCCCCAGAGCAGACCAGATTTGCTCTGGTTTTTCTGTTAAATTTCTGTCTGTTAAACCATTGATGGTGGTGAAATCCCTGCTCTGAGCTGCTGCTGACCTTTATTGCCTTCTCCCTCTCGAGATTGCTTGGCTGGCTGAGGGGAACACCACTCTGCCCCAAAGAGGTGCAGTGCAGACTGTCACAAACCTTGAGTCCCTCCTTCAGCCTGGCAGAGGGATCCAGCCTGGCTGTGCAGCCCCTGGATTTCTGTGGCCTCTAATAAAGGGTGGGGCAGGGCAGTTGAATCACCCAGGAATTCTGGGAAGTGGTGCATTCCAGCCCCTGGGATTTCCATACTGGCAAAAAGAAGCTTCACTGTAGATTTTGCCACTTTGGGAGCCTCTCTCTCCCTGATTTTCTGGGCTCCTGCTTATGCTGCCAGTTCCCTCAGCCCAGAAGCTGCACCAGAGCCGTGTGGTTTTCCAGCTGGTGGCTGTCGGAGCAGTTCCTGGTCACATGGGAAGGGATGGTTGGATTGTAGGAATGAACTGAGCAGCTGCTCAGGCAAATCAGACCTCTTATTTAGTGTGACATGCAACAGTATTGGGATCAGTGCCTCTGGGTTAGAATCATGGGATCCTGGAATGGTTTGGGTTGGAAGGGACCTTAAAGATCACCCAGTGCCACCCCTTTCCACAGGCAGGGACACCTTCCACTAGCCCAGGTTGCTCCAAGTTTATCCAACCTGGCCTTGGACACTTCAAGGGATCCAGGGGCAGCCACAGCTTCTCTGGGCACCCTGTGCCAGGGCCTGCCCACCCTCTGAGTCAATAATTAGCAGTTACTCCAAGGTGATTGTTTAGCCCAGCTCTGAGTGCAGGTGACCACGTCATTACCAGGTGTCTGAGCAAATCCACTGCCCCTGCACTTCTTCTGTGCCAGTGCCTGAGTGTTGTGTCCCGTTTTCCCAGATAATCCAGCGGATCACATGGGTCAGCCCCCCTGCCATCACCAGTGACTGGAAGAGGAAGGTGGCCCAGGATGCCATCGAGAGCCTCAGCGCTTCCAAGCTGGCCAAGAGCATCTGCAGCCAGTTCAGGACCAGGCTCAACAGCTCCCACGAGGCTTTTGCAGCTTCCCTGCGGCAGGTGAGCGTGGGCAGCTGCTCAGGAGGGTTTGTTTCGGGGCTGTGCCACTCAGGGAAAGAAACTTGGATTGCAGGAATAGCTGCAGGAGCAGCTGGTGCAGTTAATGCAGCCGTTCCGTGGGGAGAGGTGGCAGAGCCGAGGCGAGGGCTCTGACACAAGGTTTTATTTTTAAACTAGACATTCAGGGCCTCTCCACCTTGTTGCACTCTGGCTCCAGAGCAGCAGGGTGACAGGGTGTGGGTGGTATCTCTTGCAGTTGGAGGATGGCCACTCTGGCAGGCTGGAGAGGACGGAGGACCTGTGGCTGAAGGTACGGAAGGATCACGCTCCCCGGCTCGCCCGGCTCTCCCTGGAGAGCAGATCCCTGCAGGATGTGCTGCTGCACGGTGAGCACCCTGCCTGCTGTTCCCTGGGTTCCCACCCTCCCCTTCCTCCTGAGGCACTGGGAAGGAGTGGGAGGGCTGTTTTGCTCTTCACTCCATGAGCCTCCCGCTGACACAGCCCCAGTGCCTTGGATGCTGCTGCCATCCCGGGAAAGGCTCTGGGCTGCCAGGCTGGGAATGTGCAGGAGAAATCATAGAATTATAGAATCACAGAATCAGCTGGGTTGGAAGGGACCTCCGAGATCATCAAGTCCAACCCTTGATCCAACCTCACTGTGGTTCCCAGCCCATGGCACTGATGCCACATCCAGTCTGTCCTTAAAAACCTCCAGGGACAGAGAATCCACCACTTCCCTGGGCAGCCCATTCCAATGGCTGAGCACCCTCTCTGCAAAGAAATTCTTTCTAATCTCCAACCTAAACCTCCCCTGGCACAGCTCAAGACCCAGCCCTCTTGTCTTGCTGAGAGTTGGGTGGAAAAAGAGACCAACCCCCACCTGGCTCCCCCCTCCTGCCAGAGAGTTGTAGAGAGTGAGGAGGTCTCCCCTGAGCCTCCTCTTCTCCAGGCTGAACAGCCCCAGCTCCCTCAGCCTCTCCTCACAGCACTTGTGCTCCAGTCCCTTCCCCAGCCTCGTTGCTCTCCTCTGGACCTGCTCCAGCCCCTCCAGGGCCTTCCTGAGCTGAGGGCCCAGAACTGGACACAGCACTCCAGGGGTGGCCTCCCCAGCGCTGAGTCCAGGGGTTCTGTGGTTTAACGTGTGACCCTGTGTGCTGTAGTGTCTGAGTGTACCTGGCTGTTGTGCCTTGCAGGCAAACCCAAGCTGGGCCGGGAGCTGGGCCGGGGGCAGTACGGAGTGGTGTACCTGTGTGACAGCTGGGGGGGGCACTTCCCCTGCGCCCTCAAATCCGTTGTTCCTCCAGATGAGAAGCACTGGAATGACCTTGCACTCGAGTTTCACTATATGAGGTGTGTATCCTGAGGGCTTTTCTCCTTCTCCTTTATTTCACAGTCGTTCGGGTTGGAAAAGGCCTCCAAGGTCGAGCCCGGCCTGTGCCCGATCCCCACCTTGTCACCCAGACCTGAGCCCTGAGTGCCACGTCCAGCTCTGCTGCAGACATTTGAATGGCATAGGCAGGGCCTGATTTCCTCTAGTTTTGTTCTGGAGTCAGTGATTTGACCCCGTGGAATGCCAAGCTGCCATTCCTGACCTCGCCAGGGCACCTTGCCAGTGTCACTGCCAAGTGGAACGGGCACAGAGCGGTGGGCAAACATCCTCCTCCCTGCCTCCCGCTGATTCCCTGGTGTCTGTGCTCTTCAAATTCCTGCTGTTTTGCAGGAGTAAATTAGAATTAATAGACTATTATAGCAAACAGTTCTTCTCCCCTGATTTTTTGGTGTTGAATCATCCCCCCTTTCCCAACCTGTCTGAATCCACAAAGGGAAATGATGGCTCTGCAGTGCAGAAAGCAGCTTGTTTTCAGTAAACAGCTGCAGGCAGGTGCTTCAGCACAGACAGCTGAAATAAGACAGGATTTTGTTTGGAACTATAACCTTTAATAGGGCTTTTTTGAGTTTAATTGGCTCAGGCAGCTGGATATTCTTGTGGTGCTCTGAACTGTGAATTTTTCCTGCACAGGACCTTATTGCTGTGCGTGTTCCCTTTAGCAGGAGAGGCTTGGCCTGGGCTGGAGGGGATAAAAAATGACCAGTTTTCTGTGCTGAACCTTCTCCAGGTCCCTGCAGACACATGAGAGGCTCGTGCACCTCCACGGATCTGTGATAGATTATGGCTATGGAGGAGGCTCCAGCATTGCTGTGCTGCTGATCATGGAGAGGCTGCACAGGGACCTCTACACGGGGCTAAAGGTACCAACAACCTGTGTCTGTGTGTTAAACATCCATGCCCCATCCCTGGGAGTGTCCAAGGCCAGGTTGAACGGGGCTTGGAGCAACCTGGGCTCGTGGAAGGTGTCCCTGCCCCGTGGGGGTGGAACTGGATGAGCTTTAAGTTCCCCTTCCACCCAAACCATTCTGGGATTGTCTAATTTAAAAAAATTCACATCTAAATAGATATATATATAGATAGATCTGTAAGACAAAGCTGGAATTGCTTAGTTTTGATAATAAATAAGAGCAAGGAAAAGTAACTTGCACTTGCAGCAGGAGTGAAATGTGTGTGTGTTTGTTCCTCAGGCTGGGCTGGAGTTGGAGACACGGCTGCAGATTGCCCTGGATGTGGTGGAAGGGATCCGGTACCTGCACAGCCAGGGGCTGGTGCACAGGGACATCAAACTCAAAAATGTCTTGGTAAGGAGCACTCTGACATCTGGAGTCTCCCAAGACCTTTGCAGTGGGAGGGAGAAGCTGAAGTGAAGGAATAGATCCTCCCAAAGCTGGGGTGGTGTCAGCCACAGCTGGCCTGGCAGGGGAGGTTTCCCTCACTCCTCTTCTGGCCCAAGGCCTGGGGCAAAGGGAGCAGTGGAATGGCTGCTCTGGAGTGTAGGCAGCTTGAGCTCCAAGTGGGATTTCCAGTTCCTGGTCCTCTTAAATGCCAGCCACACCCTTGGTGTAGGAGACAGGTGGAGGCATGTCCTGGCACTGAGCTCAGCAAGGTGAGTGTCCAGGAGCAGCCAGGTAATCAGAGCAGCTCCTTAGGAACAAGTGCCCAACCCTCCCAGTGTAAACAGTTCAGAGCCCTGGGACTGAGCAGGGTGGTTATCAGCTGCCTCTGTGGGGATTCTTCTGCAGCTTGACAAGAAGAATCGAGCCAAAATCACCGACCTGGGGTTCTGCAAACCAGAGGCCATGATGTCTGGCAGCATTGTGGGCACACCCATCCACATGGCTCCAGAGCTCTTCACAGGTATGTTCCTCCCCTGAGCCCGCTGCTGGCCTGCCCTTGCCTGGAATTTTGAAGGCCATGACGAGGGGAAAGTAATAAAAGGACCACCCCCAGATGACCTGCTTCCAGTGTATTTTTTAGGTGTCAGTCTTGAAAGAGAACTGGGGGATTGATAGGCTTTGCTGAAGTGGTTGATACTTCTGCAGCTGGAAAGGTAAATTCTTAGTTATTAGGAAGCTGGAAGTACTTGGCTTTCATAGGCAGATCCTTCAGGAAGGATCTCCTGTAAGGAATTTCCAAGCTGTTCTGTCCTGTGGAGTGTTTTGAATTCACTCTGAGGGTTTTCCTGAGTCTTCCAGTAGCACTTAGAGGTTCATATCTCACTCACCAGAATCCCTGTGGTCTGTCAGAGCTGCCCCTGCTTGGATAGATTGAAATCAAATTGAGTCAACCCTCTTTGTGTTTAATTTAGAGGATGTTATTCTTATTAACAGTGGAATTCTCCTGGCCACAGGCTGGACCTTGACCTTAGATGTGAGCACTGGCTTAGCCCTGGGGCATCTGAGGTGCTCAGTCTTGGCTAATTTAGAGGGTGAACCTCCTGTGAGTGATTAATTGCCCAATTCCTGGGCTGAGAGGCTGATGTTTGGCTCTGACATCCTGGGCCAGGCAGAGCTGAGTCTGATGTTGGTGTTTAACTCTGAAATCCATCTGAGCACCTGCACTGGTCCCTGACCCTGAGTTTGGGAACTGCAGGTACAAGTTAAGTGTGAAAACCTGACAACTGGAAAATCTTAACTTTTATCCTTTACCTCATGTGTTCCTTCACACAAGTCTTGCCTTCTGGCCATGAAGTTGTGGTTTGAATTTGAAGGAGCTGAACACTAACTGAGCTCTCAGCCTGCTCGGGGTCCAGTGGTGAGGGTGACGTTTGTCCTGCTGACCAGATGTGCTTTTGTCCCAGGGAAGTACGATAACTCCGTGGATGTTTATGCCTTTGGAATTCTCTTCTGGTACATCTGCTCGGGCCACGTGAAGTTACCAGAGGCTTTTGAGAGATGTGCAAGCAAAGATCACCTGTGGAACAACGTTAGGAGAGGTAACAGAGGCTTGGTTGGACTCGGGTACTTTGTTGGAATAAAATCTGGGGGGATGAGGAAATGCATTTTTATTTTCTCATAACTCGAAGGTAGAAGTACAAGTTCACAGGGTCACTGAGGTTGGAAAAGATTCCTCCAGGACTGAGTCCACCCTGTACCCCATCCCCACCTTGTCCCCCAGCCCAGGGCACTGAGAGCCACGGCCAGACCTGCCTTGGACACCTCCAGGGGTGGGGACTCCAAACCTCCCTGGGCAGCCCCTGCCAAGGCCTGACCACCCTTTCCAGGAGGAAATTCCTCCTGGTGTCCAACCTGACCCTCCCCTGGCACAGCTTGAGGCCGTTCCCTCTCCTCCTGTCCCTTGTTCCCTGGGAGCAGAGCCCGACCCCCCCCCCAGCTCCCCCCTCCTGTCAGGGGGTTGCAGAGCCAGAAGGTCCCCCCTGAGCCTCCTTTT